TAATTTTACCAAACATAGGTTGGTTGGCAAAACACTATTTACTAACATAAAAATGAGATATTATTTTCACAAAAATGTCGACAGTAAGTAAAACGTACATATGAAATATCGCAGCTCCAAATAAGTGCAAAATAAGTACAAATACAAAATGTATATATTTTGTATAGTTTCCAGTAAAGTTTACAATAACACTAGGGCTGTCAGCCATAGATGTGGCCAACTTATTTAAAATTGGCTGTGCAATGTACGCATTCAGTACAAATTCCAGTTTTGAATGCAAGAATACTTTGTTCCTTTCCTTCCGCCAATTTCTATTGACAATAGCAAAACAATTTTGCATAGTAATCACATCTGGGCTGCTATCAGGAATAGGCTGGAGCTCACACACTGCACGGCTAGCTATTTACTTAAGAAGTTAGATTACGTTTGTACTTGTAATCAAATTCATAACCTCTTTCGTATGTTGAGAAAAATCTCCTTTCGCGACATTCCTTTGCAATTATTGGGAGATTTCGAACGTGAGGAGCTGCAGTTTGTTTCGAAATTTGCTTAGCACTTCACCAGTTTCGGTGTTTTTATTTGTTTCTCCTAAAAACCGATTTTGTTCTTATGATTTACAAAAAAAATAGATATATGAAATTCCCTAAAAGCATTTCCCTAAACAACGAGGCCCTAAAACTTCCTTTTTATTTAGCTGTCTGGTTGCAACGTGGTTTTAGAATCACAAAAACAGGTTAATTCAAAACCGAGAAAAAGAAGAATTGTCCAATACGAAAGTAGAAAATGAATACGTTTAAGGTGCATTGATAAACTTCCTACAAGACGTTACTGCTTGAGAGTGCCTTTCAGTTAGGTATTTCGGTGTCAAATATATATAGATTTTGCCATTTACGAAGCTTTAGTCATAACTAAAATGGATATTTTGATTGGCTTTTTTATTCTCCAAAAACAATGCATAAATGCTCTGCTGAAAATGAGAGAATTTCCATTTCAATATATACCGCAGCATCGTTTTTATAGGCAATGTTTTTTGATAGCAATAGCACAAAAAGGGACTGAAGGTATTCTTCTCTTTTATATTTATTAATTCTCATCTATGTATTGACAATATTCTGAAGTAGTTCCTTTACGAATTGGCAGATAAAACGTGTGACATTTAGAGACATTCCATATGCATTCAATTACGGTCGATAGTATCGGTGTAGAAAAACAACTTAGACGTCCATAAATGCATTACTAATCTTTATGACACAAAATATAACAGCATTGCAAGAAAACTTTTAGTAATTTGACTTCCCTTTCTATTTGCCAATAATAATCCTTTATCTCATATGTATGCCTATCTCTATTCCATGAACGCAAAGCTTAATTTTCTGCGCTCTGGACAGATATCATTAAAAGGTTTCTGATCTCTATTTATATCCTTTTATAGTAGAACATGCACAAACAAGATTTTTTTTCTGCAGCATTAAGTAGCGTAGCAAATTCCCGTAATATAAGGAAAACCTGGATTTTACCGAACGCCACCTGCCACAACATTGTTCTCAGGCAACAGAAACAGTGGAGCCGCCGGTATCGTTAGCAGTCGCTTTTATGTTCATAAGCCGCTGGATGTGTCCTAAATTTTCACTATTTTTAAAAAGAGAGCAAACAACTGCCCAGAAATTAAGCGTCCCTAAATGGTCACATACACTACATTTAATGCTTGAGGTCAATTTGTGCAGAAATGCGTTGTCATCAACTGTGAATAGACAAAATTTGGCACAACACTCGTGAATAATGTACGACTTTTTGGTTTTATTTACGAATTTTCATTGAGCTTATATGATAATAACTGAAATGTCATCACTTAGATACTGCTATCTCATCGGATTCAGATGATTTCTTTTACCCTTTTTTCTGCAGAGGAGCCGATACCACTGAAAATTACTGCCTCAATGCCCAGCCGCTCCAGCATTCGTGTGGCTTGGCTGCCTCCAAAGGATAAAAATCTATGCGGAAACCAGTATGTGGTCATCGTCCGCAATGCAACATATCAGACCAAGGCAACGGTGTCGAAGCCAGAATTCACACTAAAAGACATCAATCTGTACTCCAGTTATCTTTTCACAGTACATGCTACTGACAAGAAGGGCCTGCCGTTCCGCTCTTACTCAGCACTTTCAGTAACGATTACAACGAGCGGTAAATTTTTATTATCATCCCTGCCGTATTTCATCTTTACTAACGCGATGTCACTCTCAAGTTAATGGTAACTAACAAGCAGATAACGATCCGCATATAAGAAAAAACTATCCTTTTGCAATTTCCAGTTAGATTAACCTAATGAACCTTTCCTGTTTTATATGCAGACAAATCTTCTATACCGAACACGTTAAAATAGCCGACCTCCCTCTAAAAGAGGTCAACATATCAAAAAATACAACGTTCATGTAATTATGTCTGGTTTGCTCAGGAAGGCTTATATAAACACAAAGCGATAGGAGATTTTGAGATGTTTTGCTCAGTGTTTTTCCTCATAGTGACTAGTCCTTGTTTGAGAAATTTTGATTTCTTCTTAAACTGATGATTCAGCCTACAATGTTGTAATAACATTAGGGTTGGCAAATATGTTTACCGCTACAGGGGTGGAGTGGTACTGATAATATATGGTTAGTCCCGAAGTGATGAGGGCTTGTTGAATCTGGCCATGATGGGGGTGTGTGGATCCCATAAATATAAGACTTTCTACATGGCATACAGTATAACGGATTCGCAAAAATAAACTTTTTAATTTTTCCAGACAATAATTTATTATACCCTACCTCTGTTTAATAACATTAGAGCAAAATATTGTGTTGTCTGAACTGATATC